TCTTGAAATGCTTCAGAAGTCAGGAAATACAGAATTAATTTATTTCATGGAGCAGTTTAATTACAAAGCCAATCTATTTAAAATAAGTACTTTATTAACATGTTTGTGTTCCAAGAGTTCTTTAGCTGCATGGGCTTACCAATTCTTCAGGATGAAAAGATTGTGGGGAAAAAAAATTCTTTATAAATGTTAAAAATACTATCGTTCTTAAGTATAATAAATGATTGCATATTGATATACCAAGTATTAATTAATGCTAATAGGACAGCTCAGAAAAATCACAACAGGTAATATTGTAGCAATTCATTCCATATTCTGAAACACAGTTTTCCAATTGACTCAGTATGGCAATTTATCACCCCTTCTTTTTTTTAAAAAAAAAAAGGAAAAAAATCAGAATTTTAAATATACTTGTTCAATGGCACTATTTAATAAGCATATAGGTTTTTAAATAATGCCTTAATGTTTCAAAGTTGAAATATCTATATACTTGAAAATGTACCTGGAATGTGTAGGGATGACTCAAGAGATAATATGAGACTTTTCAATGATATTCTGAAAGTACAGCATAATTGATTTCTATTGCTATTGGTAATTCTCCATTCTCACATGTAAATCATTTACTTTCTTGCATCCAAATAAAATGAATTAACTTAATCAAAGGCAAATGTATAGGACAAATAAGCTGAGAAGTAACAAATACTTGTCATATCCAGTTATAAGTCCACTTATAAAAGTTTTGTGTCTTCCAACGGATGTACCTTCTGTGGAAATGTGCTTTATGTTTTTGCTTTAAGCAAAAGTTTTCTTCCTTTTACAATATCATATTAGGATCTCATATAAGTTCCATTTCAATCAACTACATTAACAGACGTGTGTTCAACTTTGCTCATGTAAAATATGTCACATTTAAGAAAAGACTCTCCTTTCCTTTGGTTAAAACATGACAAGCACAGAAGAGAATATTTTGAATTCATATCAGGAAGGTGACGTAAAATGTGCAAAATTCATACAGAAGAGTTGAAGTAGAAACATATTGAAATAATTTCCTTAAAATGACATGTGTTTTTAAAAATGTTCAGACACTGGCAGGATGTAAATGAAGATGTTCCTTGTATTGTTTCCAAAGAATATTAAACATCTTGGACATTTTAACATAACTGTGTTTGTTAATAAGGTAAGAATAAAATAATTTAGTCACATTAAGACAACTGTAAAACTATATTTAAAAAGTCATCCGAAATTTATGTACTGATACAGAGCTGAGTTTACGTTCTCCTTGATTTTCCACATGTAGAAATACCAGATCCTGAAGTGTGATCAGTGTGGTTCTTTCATCCCCTGACCTTTGCTATGTGGCCCCATGAAAACATTAACTCAAATCTTCTACGTACTGCAAAATGCAATATGAAGACTGGAGAAAAAGTTAATTTCTCCATATGCAGTTTAACAAGTTTTGTTAAGTATAAAACACTAATACATATAAATGTAGTTGCAATCAAAGTCACTTTTTAAGAAATTAATGAATGTTTAGTTTGTGCTTGTAACTAATTACAATGTACTCTAGACATCCCTGCATTCATCTGAATCCAAAGTTTAAGTAAGAGATACCAAATGTTACTTTATTGAGTAGGTGCATCATTAAATACTTTATGTAGGTCCAAAGAGCTCAACTGAATCCTTCAGAGATTTATCAGTGCATAACATCATTAGAAGAAATGGACATTTTGACATTTAATGTATTGTTTTACTAACTTTAAAAGCCAAAGTTAAAGTGATAATGCTTAAATTAGTAAATGAAATTTCATAATAAGTCCTCTATTTAGGCTAAACAGAGAAGATGGTTTACAAATTATAGATATGGGTAGTGGACCAGAGAATGTATTTCCCTTTTACATTATAACATGAGTTAAGGAAAGTTTTGTTTTTCTTGATTCTTTTCTCTAAAACAGATATTGTGGCATTTTGGAGATAAAAATGTAACATCCGACCTTTAAACTTCTGTTTCATTAATGTAACCACAAGCAACAGAGTCACTGACTGACATGTTTGCACTTTCAGGCCTTTGGCTCTTAAAGTTATTTGATAACTGTTATGCCACTATTTGCTTTTTATTGGAGACACCTTGAGGAATGTGTTAGATGAAAAATGAAGTATATTGTGTAAAACTTAATAAATGATATAATGTAATTCAGTAAAATATTCTCTTGAGCATTAGATTTCTGTACCTTAATTGGGGGCTGGAGACTATAGTTGAGGGTAAATTTTGTTTATTTTGTTTTGTTTTCTAATGAGTTACAGAATAACATCAAACACAATTCTAAATATCCAAAGCAAAAACATACTATATAACTCTGTAACATTACTTTTGATGAAAAATATGTCACCTGACTTAAACTCAATTAGTCTTTTAAGTTCTGTCTATACTGGTCTATGAACAGAGTCAATATCAGTTGCAGGAGAGGAGTAAAGAAAAATAACTGAGAATTTCTTGTAAATATATATGTAAAAACAGTTAAAAATCCATGGATGATGTAAAAAAATAAAATAAAAATGTGATGCTCCCTAGAGAATTCTAGAATTACTATAAGCAAATTACTTTGGATAAAAAGTAATGCAGCTCAGATTTCTATTGCATATGACAAAAAAAAGGATTGTTCTTATTTTTTTAAAAAACACACTGTAATTAGTTAGAAATATCATTTAGAAAAGACAGAGATTCTAGTCTGTTTAAACATGTTAAAAGTCAAAAGTTCCCTGAAATAGGATATTACAAAGTCAGGACACAGAAAAAAAAAACAGGAGGGGGTGAGGTACAGTGCATACAAGTAAACAAGGACTGCACCACACCAACAGCACTGGGAAGATACCTTTCCCACTAGTTAGAGAAGCTTTAGTATTGAAGCAATGAGCAAACTAGCCATAGGTCTCCTAGAAGCAAACCGTGGGTTCAGCTATTTTAATTAGCCATAGTATTTACTAGATTATCCATTAGAAGCAAAATGCCAACGTATATCCTCAAAAGACAAGCAGTCTAGCAAATTCTTTAGCTTGAAAATATTAATGCTCATTACAAATAAGCAATATGCTTCTACAAACATATAAATTATAACTCCCATTATATATGTTTGCAGCCTCTGAAAATAGTGTGTCATCCTTACCACTATTGTTCAAACTTCTAAAACAAACTTAATATAAAGAACATAAATATGGGCTTAATTTATATCCTCGATGTGACAAAGAGTTCATTGCTTTTACCAACAATGAAGAGGTATTTTACTAGGTTATTAAAAAATTATGCATTACTTTTGTATATGCCCAGTGGCATTCTGTGTTTACAGCAAAGATAAGAAGATATATTATGAAAGCACATTACTAGTTTATATTAGATACTATAATAGTATTCCACACAAATTTGGACTCATAAGCATGTTTCAGAAGCTGTAAGTTATATACCACACCCATATCCCAGATCATTAAATTTAAAATATGTTACATGATCCAAACAGAAACATCCCACTCTTTCACTTAGCCATGCCATGTATACTTATTTTGTGCAATCCACTCTTAGAAGCCAACTACCACCCAGTGGAGAGAAAGAAGATCTTCCAGGCAGATCTGAGGTGTACATCAGGTGGGGGTATGAGGGGGGGAAGGGAGGGCGATGGGAAAAGAAGGAATAGGGGCGTTTAGCCTTGTTTAGATCTAAGTACTGCTGATCATCCATTTATATTTTCACAAGAGAGAAAAGGTATCCAGAAGCTCACTCCACAGTGTTGCTCAGCGGTAGCATCAGGCTATGAATGTTCATTAATGACAAAACATTTCAATGCTCAAGCTTAGGGGAAAAGGGGGGAGAAGGGAGAGTGAGAAAATGAAGTAAAACTGAAAATTGAAGAAGGGAGGGAATAGAGAAGAAAGAGGGAATAGAGAAAATGAGACAAGAGAGAGAAAGAGAGAGAGAGAGAGAGGTTGTACACATGTGTGAGTGACAGCATGTGGAACAGTAGAGAAGTGTGTGCCTTTTGAACAGTAAAAGAGAATCTGAATGTGAAAGTGGTTGTTAGACCATGGAAGAGCCGATGTGTGTGGGGATGTGAAGTAGAGAGATGTGAAGGAGTGTGTTTAAGAAAAAGAGATTTGCCAGGGTGGAAAAAAAATAGTACTGGAGGGTGTTAGAAGGAAGATGCATGTGTATGTGGCAGCGATAGGGAAAGAGATGGGAAGTGGGACTGACAAGATCACAGAATAGGAACATTAAGGAGGAACAGAAACAGGGAGTGGGGTGGGGTGAAGCGTGGAGGAAAGGAGGTTAAATTAGAGAATGCAGAATTAGAATGGAGGTGATAAAAAAGAGAAAATTGAGGATAAAATCGGAATAGAAGGAAAGAATGGAGAGAAAATAGAAAAGGGAAGGAAAGAGGCAATGGATGGGGGGAGAGTAAGAAGAGGGTGGGGGAATGAAAAAAAGAAAGAGAAGGGAGAAAAGGGGGAAAACGGTAAAAGCAGTGAAAGCTGAAGAGGGAGAAATTGAGCCAACGTGTCCAACTGAGAGGGAAAATAAATGGGAGCTGGGAGCAAGCAGTTGGAAAAAGTCTCTTAGACTAGAGCCAAACAGCAACAAACCTGATAAACTTGTCAGACTCTCCCAGAGTACCCAATGCCAGTAAAACAGAGACCTCGTGAATGGAGTTTCAAAGTACCACCTGCCCCTCCTAACCCGCACGCTCCACTCATCCCGGGGCTACTTGGCGTCCGGGCAAAGTGCGTTAGCATCACGAGCCCAGCTCACTACCTGCCCCAGCGGAAAGGGACCAGGCAGGGCTGGGGCAGAATTAGCACCTGGGTGTCTTGAGATGTGGTCTTTTGATAAGGATCCCCATCAGCGTTATTACTCGGTTAAAAAAAAAAAAGGCAAAAAATAAATAAAAACAAAAAGGTGGAAAGAGAGAGAGAAGGATAGACTGAGACAAGTACGAAAAGCACGCCGATCTTCCTACCTAAGCACCGCCGTGTCCCCTTTTCTGACCATCATGTTGTCCACGGCCGCCCAGGGAAAGTCCACACTCTGTCCAGCCGGGAGGCAGGAGGGCAGGAGGCAGCACAGGCTGAGGAGCACCGCCGCCAGCCACTGGTTCGAGCAACAAGCACCCTGCACCAACAGCATCATGTCCATCCCTGCTAGGGCTGCTCACTCTCCAGAAGCTTTCAGCTCGCGCTCCCCCACCCCCTGGTGCTGGCGTCTTCCCGGGAACCAGGCGGCGCGCCACAGGATTTTTTTTTCTTTTTTTTTTTTTGTGGATGGGTGGGTTTCTTTTCTTTCTTTCTTTCCCCTCTCTAGTTGTTGGGTGTTGTTTCTCTCTCTCTTTTTTGCCTCCCCGCCTTTTCCTCTTCGCTGTCCCTCCCTCCCTCCCCTCCCACCCCCTGGCACCACACTACACCTCCTCTCGGTTGCTTTTGGCCGAGTCCGGAGCGTGTCTGATTCTCCGGCGGCTCGCACACCATCTAGCGAGGAGGCGAGCGCGCGGCGAGTGAGGGAGGAGGCGCGCGAAGCGGAGGCTGGGCGAGCGGCGGCGGCTGCAATCGCCGCAGCAGCAGCAGCAGCAGCAGAAGCAGCGCGGGGCGCAGCGGCCGCCGGCGGCCCCCGGCTCGCGCGCGTTGCCAAGCGGCCGTTTCCTTAGCAACCCCGCCCGGGGATTGGGGGATGCAACAGGGAGGGGGGGAATGAATGGAGGAAAAAAAGGAAGAAAATGAAAATATCTATCAGGAGGAGGTATATCACAATTACGCAGACTGCGGGGGAAAGAGAGATGCCTCCTAGACAGAAGGCTTCCCTTCCTGGCAGATGCCCTGCTTTTGCTAGAAAAGTCTCCGTGTCGGGCCGAGGAGGAGCGAGCAGAGGAGCGCTTGGCTTTCCCTCTCCCGTGCGTTTCACCTTTGGAGGCACCGTAACTTTCAAGTCCTCCAAGTTGTGGCCGGCGCCATCATGACGCCTGGGACTGAGAGGATTTGTTGTTTCTTTTTTATTTGTTTCCATTCTCGCCTGGGCGGCTGTGCTACAGTTAACAAGCAGCCAACTAGTTCACTCTTTACCTCTTTTCGGAAATAGGTAGGGACAGTGGGTGGGGCTGCTTTTTGAGGGGACGCGCGGGAGGTGCATGCAAGGCTTTGCAGTGGAGCAGCTGGAGTGTCTATAGGGTCAGTCAATACGGTTTGGAGGACGCCTCCCTCCCCCGTGTGTGTTGACACTAAAGTGTGTTTGTGTTTGTGTTTGTGTGTGCGTGTGTGTGTGCGTGTGCGTGTGCGTGTGTGTGTGTTGAAAGTGTGAGAGTGTGCATGTATGTGAGTGTATGCCATGCGCGTGCTCGTGTGCGCGCGCGAATCGTGCACGCCGGGCCAGTGCGCGCTCGGCACGCAGGCGCACTGAGAGGGGCCGGGAGGGTAGTGCGGGGATGCGGAGTGGGGAAGAGACTACAATCTAGTATTTTAATTGTGTAGAGCCAGGCCGTCCTGTTATGTAAGAGGCAGTTTAGCCCGTTGGAGATGATCAGCGCATCTGTATCCAGGCAAGGCAGGGTTATCGGGTTTAACGAGTCACAGGATTGCATTTTTTAACAGCCTCCAGGCCAGGATGGACGGGCTTCCTGCTCAGTGGCGCAGAACCGCTCCCCCGCCTCCCCCGCCGCAGCCCCTTAGCCGCTCGCCCCGCGGCTGCGAGCCTCTGTCCTGGCCCACGGCAGAGTGGGGTGCTGGGCATGGGGCCGCCCCCTTCATTTTCTACTTCTTCCCTTCTTGAATGCATGTCCAGTTTTAAGAACCTTTAGCTATTCCGGGTTGTTTGCAGATCAATGAGAGAGAGAGAGAGCCGAGGCTGGAGTCAATAGCAGTTACGCCAATCAGCCAATCAATCTGGTTCAGATTGAGGAGTTTGGAAAGCAAAGCGGGGAAGTGAAGGGGAGACACAAGTAGAGTAATTAAAAAACACGCTCAGCACCCCCTTCCTTCTTCCCTTCCTCCACCCCTAGCCTCCTTAAGCAGCCTTTAAAGATGTTCTTCGCCTGATCCCAGTTCTTCTTGGAAGAGATAAATAAAACCTCGCACGACCCTAACTCGTTTTCCATAATGCTAGCAGGGTCCTTTGGCAAGGCGCACAGAAGCAATAATCTCTGCAGGGGTCAGCATCCGGCTGCCTCCCCAGACTGAGCTCTTTACGAGGCGGGCAGGGAGTCGTTTTGCTTGGCGGTAGCCGCGCTCAGAGTGATTTTTATCGCGGTGCACGAGGAACTGTGCAGAAAGGGAAGGGTTCCATCACCTGTGACCACTACACTGGCTGATGGAAGAGCCCCTAACCAGCATCACCTCCCCGCTGAACCGACACTCCAAGGCTTGGCAATTAACCAAAACGTTTGCAGCAGGAGTTACTGATGTTATTGGTATTCAAGCCTAACTCTCAAACCCAGCTCAGAAATTGAGAGCGCAATGGTATTCAACCGCATTTTGAAACATCAATAAAATGTTAGTCATTTGCGGGTGAATGGAAACATTCTCCTTACAGTCTTTTACGCTAGGGAAATAATTGTCAAATGAGAGACTCCTGCTAATATTGATGCCAAATAGCTAGATCACACTGTCATCGTGTTAACTGCAATTTTTTTTTCTTCCTCGCGTGGTACACTGATGGATAAAGCTTAAAATTATCTAGGGCAAACGGGGGATTAGAAAAATCGACATGTCATGTCCATGGGCAAAATTATGCAGCGTTATTTAGAATTCTCTCTAGAAATAATTGAGATTCATTTGAAGAGAAGCAGAAGACACAGCTTCCGGCATTCTGACTCAGTTTAGCTCTATTTTATGCAGGAGTAGGGTGCCAGCGTTTTCTAGTACAAGCTATGAAAAGCATCCTTTTGTAACTGCTGTTTCCCAGAGATCTGACATCTTCTGGGAGGAAGGAGGAGGGCGCTGGGATTTCTGTGACCAGGGATGGAGCTATGCAGCGGTTTTAATATGTACAACAACCCTTCAGGCTTGTAAAAGGAAACTAGAACCACTTCTATTTTAAAGGCAAAGAGTTTATTTTGTTTACTTCTAGTTTTTTTTTAAATCACCTCCATTCACTGATCACAAAGCACTTAACTCTCACAAAACCCACAGGGAAGCAATAACTAAACCTAGTTTATAGATAGATATGTGGGCTAGTGGAGAGATTATTGACATATATGTGGGGCTGTAACTACAGTACTTTTGCTGTTCTAGGGAGGAAAATGATTTTTAAAACTTCTAGGAGTTTCTTCTCGCCTCCCAACCTTTCTAAGGGAATATATTTGAGAGGATTTTACAGGGTTTTGAGATCCTCGATTTCTTCCCAGCATAGACTAAAATCCTGGCAATCTTGGCTCGTTCTGAGAAAAATAAAATAAAAACAAGAATACGAAAGAAAGGAAACCTCCCTGCTTAGTTAGCACATAGGTCCTTAGTATAATTTGTTTTTAAGTATCAAGAATAGGTAACAGCATTGTTTGGACTTTGTAGTGGGTGCAATAGAATGGTCCCTTGATCACAGTTTTTAGGAACTGACATTGGAATGAATTACTACTTCCTTTGAGTCATGTACCTTTACTTTGTTTTCAAAGCTCGACTTCTAATATTTGAAGAAATGTGATAACCAGTATGGAGTGAGTTTGGAAGGAGAAAGGTGGAGCCTGAGTGTGATTAGTGACTATGACATCATGTAGCTTGGTTTATACCCTTGTTTTTCATGCCCTGTGACTTCAGTGTTGTTGAAAAGATAAAGTTATAAGGAACCTTCTTAAACTTCCTTAGTTTAATTAGCTTGATTTTTATTCCACAATGCAAGTGAAATTATTATTAGGGAAAAAATTTAGACTATAAGTTCACATTTGTTTTCTGATACTGAATGAGTAAACCCAGGAACATTTTTCATGCTATTACCGTCTAGGCATGAGAAATTTTAGGCAAACAGGTCTCAGGATCTAGTGGAAAGAACTAATGAGATACCTTTGTAATTCCTGAGAAAGAGTCAGACAGGAGGCTCTTATAAACAGGACATATGGATAATAACTCTTTAACTCGGGCCATAATTGATTTTCTATTTAATTAAGCTAGTTTAAGCTTGGAGCACCTTATCAAATTAAACTGACCTACAGTGATGATTTGCAGGTCACTGTCAGAACTAAGATGTTCAGGGAATTTGTCGGAGGTGGGAAAGTCTTCCTTTATAGAAAGGTTTCTCAACCCAGGCACTTTAGGTATTTGGGGCAGGTAATTGTGGTCAGTACTGCCTTGTACATTGGAAAATGTTTAGCAGCTTCCCAGGCCTCTACGCACTAGATGGCAATAGCACCAGTAGATGGCAATAGTTGTGATAACCAAAATTTCACCAGATGTTGTCTAGATGTCCGTGGATTCGGGGAGAGAGGGCAAAAATCACCTCAGGTTGCGAAACTCCATTATAGATTACATTTATAAAAACATACCATCTTGTGCTTTCACAGAAAATAGTAAAGCAGGTTTGTAGGGGGAAAAGTATTTTATTTGAATTCAATAGCTACCAAAGTAGCTCCCCCTGATCGATTAAATCTCTACATTCACCTGCCATGTGATGGAGTGACCTAGGTTAGCAAAGATGTAATGAATTTAAAGGTTGATTATAAATCTCTTTCTATGATTTCTCTGTGGGAGCTCTTTTATTTAAGCCAGAATTGAAGTGATAGTCCTTATTTTTAAAAGAAATTGTCATTTTGCAGTTGTTTGAATAAAAATATAAGTAGATGGTGAGCTTCTTTCTTGCAAGAACTAACTTAAAACTTTGTATTCTTTATATAGTGGCAGTTACAAGGTGCACAGTCAGGAAATGGCTATTAAATAAAGGAAAATGAAAACAAAGTCAGTTCCCTGTTAAATCACTCTATGTAAAATAAATCATATATTCATACATTTACCACTTTTAAAAATATCAACTTACCTATTAAATGTAAATGATAGGCAAAGAGGTAAGAAGTTTTGTTTGTGTTTTTTTTTTGGGGGGGGAGGGAGTTGCACGGATACTACACTGTCTTCAAAGCTCTTTAAATTATTGTCATAGAATCTCACTGAAAATTTCACCTAAGTATTTAAACCAGAAAGAGAAGTCTTATAATAAATGTGAGTGGTTGTT